GCAGAGCCGTGGGACCGGGCCGCCGAGGGCCAGAGCGGCGCGTCACCGCCGGAGCATGTCCGAGGGAAACGCTTCTCAGGCCCCACGTAGGTGGCGCTGCGGTGGCGGTGCGACCTCGTCCGCATGGCTGACGAGTCGTTGCATTTGCAGGCTCGTTTTCGCTGTTCACGTGGATCCCCGAATTTCGCCCTGCTCTTTCGTGTGGCTTTGACTATTACGTGAATTCTGGGGAAAGTCTAATTCTTTTTCGGTGACTTCGATATGTAGTTGCGAAGGAAAACGCGAAGGGCGTGTCCCTTGAGATAGAGAAGACAGGTCGTTTTTCCAAATCTGAACCCATCACGCGTGGGACGGCCAGGGGGTCCAGCCTCCCCTGGGACACCTGACGCCTGCGTCCCCCGCCCCGCTGCGCAGTTTGTGCGCAGATGGACTTGAGCGGGCGCGAGGCGGAGGTAATCACTCCCGCCTCGTACACCTGAGCATCAGGTGCGACGATGCACGTGAACATTTTACACTTTAGATAGTAACGTTAGGGCTGGTTGCAAAGTATAGTAAAACCGAAAGTAATTTCTTCTCTTTAAGACTATGCCTACACGTGATTTTGTTCATTGCCTTTAGATAAATTGGGTTTCTTGCTCTTTTGTAATACGGCGAAGTATTAGTAATTTATAACTGCACAAGGAGAAATCCTAGCACAATCACCCCATAAGAAACCACTCTTTTTCTCTTAATTATAAGCCAATAATTATTTGCTAGTGGTAATAAATCACAAAAGGGAAGGGGAAGCATGTAAAAACCTGACTGCTTTCCTGTTTTCTTTAGTTTTTTCAAATCGTAATCTGAAAGTGAAGTGAATCGTATTAACCATCCTTTTTAAAAGTCTTAACTTTAGTCCATCCTAATTTCCATTTTGCGATCTACTCTGTTTATAAAACCATGCTAGTGATCGCTGACCCCAGCCCTTGGGTGGAGGTTTAGCTCCGTTTACAGACACACTTTCCGCAGTCCGAAGCACTTTTCCAGGCTTGCGGGACTTCTTCAGAAAGAATCAGACAATCACCGTCTCCTCACAGCTCCAGGAGGCTTCTATTCAGGCTTTTCTGTTGAACCGCAGTTAGCTTTCTGGATGTGCACTGTTTTAGAGGTCACCGTGGTTCTAAGCGCAGCCTGTCTTTGCTTTCTCCACCAGCGACTCCAGTCTCAGCCGCCGGAGCCCCCGCACCGCCACCCCAGCGGGTCTGGGGGGAGCCCCACGCCTCACCCGGCCCTCACCGGAACCTGCCAAGTGAGCCCCACCCTGGAAAACAAGGCGCTGCCAGTGTCTGGCCTCTGCCTCACCCTCCGGCCCCACAAGGCCCAGCGGACACCCCGCCGGCCTTCCCATGGGGCTCAGAGCCCCAGCCGGCACAGGCCGGCCCCGCCCTGGGTGGCCCAGGACCAGCATCTGACTGTGCCCTCGGTGCCACGGACAGAACTCCATCGCATGTGCCGTCCCTGTTGGACGCCGACGTGGAAGGCCAGAGCAGGGACTGCACGGTGCCTTTATGCAGGACGAAGAGCAGGACTAGCCGGCCGTCCGTGTACGAGCTGGAGAAAGAATTTCTGTCTTAAGCACCTTATGTTGTTCGAGCATTTTTTTTTTTCTTTAAGGTGAACAAATTAAAACAATGTGTCTACCTTTGAATTGTTTCACGCCGCCGTGTCTTCAAAAGCTGTGGCCATGTTCCTAAAATGGTGACGGATGTCTGACTTCTCAAAAATGTACGTGATCGCTACGAGCTGCCTGCGAACGCTGTTTTCCCCCCTGGATTCCTACCTTGTAACTTGAAATACGAGTATAAAACCGGACACGGGCAGCAACGCGACTGTGCCAGGCAGAGCTCCCTGAAGCGCCGTTTCCACGCTCTGCTCTCGTTCACATCCTCGTCTGCTAGACGTTGCCGTGAGGTGCTCTGTGCTGGTCCCTTCTTTTCCATTCTTTCCCTTTTCCTTTGCTTTCTCTCTCTCTCTCTCTCTCCCTTTGTCTCCTTTGTTTAGGCAACGAAAAGTCAAGAAGAATAATGTGATATTAGTAAGTAAAGGTGTCTGTGTTTTAAAAAATGATGACCGGAATGGATGTAAAGTCCTATTCATCCTACCGAAACTCGGCAGTAGGTTTATGATGCGTAAATATGTACAGTTCTCAAATAAACTATGCACGATTTCTCTCTTTGAGGAAAATCTACTGAATGTAACTTGTAAACGTTTTACTGAATGTAACTTAAAATCTTTTATCCATTAGAACACCAGAATGGATTTGTAAAAGACCACTCGCCGACATTTGGCTGCGGCCGGGTCGGGTCCGCGTGTGCCCGAGAGGCAGTCACGCACAGCTTCTCCCTGCGGAAGGCCTCAGCCGCCTTCAGTAGCCATTTATTTGGGCTCCAGAAGGGTAAAGCGCTTTCATTTTGTAGTAGAATTTCACAAAATTAAGTGACACACGTGTCCATGCATTAAGCATTCATGCCATGTAATTTTATTTTTCTCTATTTAAATGCATAATTAATAATCCCAAATGCAATTAGAGAGAAATCACTGTCGAGAAACAGCGGTACTGTTAAAATTTAAGTGTTTTGTCGTTATTTCACATTTCATTTAATTGTGAACAAATGTTAGACGTGATTAGATATGGTTGACAATGTTAGATATGGTTGAAAGGACAAATAGTTTACAGATTATTTTCAGAAATGGGTTTGTAAAATAGATCTTTGGATAGCAGATCAGGATTGAAATGATTTAAAATTATAAACGAGTCATTCGTAAATCAGACCGGAATGATACAAAGAGACCACTGAGTCAGGTAATAACAAACATGGTTGTCCAGGAGCTTGGTAAAGTTGCCTGGGTCTCTTTTGCTAAATCTATTTTGTTCCCTTTCTGTCACTACATATGGTTGTTCAGATGACAGACAATAAATGTTTAAATTCTCCTTATGATGAAAAACTAAATTACAAACCTTGATATTTTATTTAAAATTATCTCTTGGTTAAGGTTTACTGAATAACTGAATTGCCAGCAATTTAAATTAAATCAGGTGTGATAAAATACCTACCTATAGTAGAAAAAAAGGTAAATTCCATTTGGCCATGTTGGAACATCTCAGTCACCCAGCAGGTGTGCCCTAGCGGATGATGGACAAGGCCTGAAAGGATTATAGTATCATAAACACATTTCGCCCTAAAGAAAATGATCTCACGTTTAAGATTCTTGCAGCAAAATCTCAGGTACTTATTGTGTCTTGTATTAGTGTCCCTTCTGTGGTTTGGCTTAACTTTTGGGTAGATGTTGAGTTAGATCATCGAGATTTGGTTTCCTCAAAATAGGATCACATCCGAAACTATAGTCGGCTGCCTTGTACCCAGCCATTTGGGGACATGTAACTTCCAGGGAAAGTACAGGGAAGGTGTGCCTGAATCATACCTGACAGGAGAGGTACGGACTCTATGACCTGTGGGGTGGGGACGTGGAGGGTGTCATCCGCCTCATCCCTCCACTCTGTTCCTGCTCCTGTGTAGCTTTATTTCAGCCGATTCTACATTATAACGAAATTAGAAATGAAGCGGTTTAAAAGGATAATTGCGACACAAGGACTCACTCTCGCATGTTCCTGCGGCTAGCTGTTCTCGGTCGAGATCCAGTGTACATTTGCGATTGTCCGTGTATACGTAGCAGAATCTGGTTATTTATTTTCGTGTAGACTGACTAGTTCCCTGAAAGGTAAATTAAGCTGATCGCTGTTAGTCAACAATTAAGACGCCCTCTGCAGGGTGAAGGCCTGGGCCTGCACTGCTGTATTATGAAGCCTTGTGAGTGAAAAAGATGTTTACATACATTGTCTATTTTTTTAATAAACTTTTTTTTATAGCTAGTCTATTTGCTCGGTGCCTTTGCTCTTCTCCCGACGATTGTGGCTACAGTTCGTAATGGTTTATTTTGTATTCAGTCAGGAAAAGTATGTTACTGAAGATGATGAATGCTTATTAAAATTACTAAGATTATTAATGATTATTAACCTGCCAAGTCCGTTAAACTGAAGGCCCCTAAATGAGTCATGGGGTTAACTGCTTTTAAAAGGTATAACGAAATATTTATTTAAAATGTTGTCTGGTTCACATGTGCATTGAAAAGTTGCATTTCCTTGTGAAAATTTGCAACTCCAGCTTCTCAGAAGGCCTGCTTCCTCAGCGAGGAGTCAGTATATGAACTAAATGTCAGTTGATGCTACAGGAATGTGATTAGTGAGCTATGCTAATTGTTAATACGTTTAAATCAGAAGAATTTCAGAAACCACCAAACATCTGGTAATTCTTACGAAGGGATAAAAGCCTGGGTGGAAAAAGCAGGTCACGGCGTTTCGTGCCGAGCCAAGCACCACCCTACCCCGTGGGAGGAAGGGAAATTCAGCATCTACTGCTTAGCTCCCAGGTTCCTATATGACACCTGTTATTCTCTTTAATAAAATCCGTGAGGTAAGCAGTGGGATCCCTAGCTCATTAGACATGAAACACACAGGGACGTTTGCTAAGTTTACAGGGACCCAGCCTGTACCCAGCTGCTCACATCATCTACCTGTTCACCCTCATTGTAACCATCCGCATAGCACAGAAGGTGAAGACGTCCGAAATCGGAGCTTCGTAAATGAAATCCAAAGCTAAGGTCATTTTTTGTTCATCAAAAAGTTGCCAGAGGGGAGCAGGGGTGGGGGCTGCAGGGGTAAAGGGTGAAGAAGCACAAATTAGTAGCTGGGATGCAAAGTACAGCACAGGGGACATGGTCAGTAGCATCGTAATAACCGTGTACAGTTCACATCGTAATAACCATGTACAGGGCCACGTGGGGACTAGACTAATCGGAGGAACACCGTAAATTATATAAATATTTAACCATGGTGCTATACGCCTGAAACTGATATAAAATAAAATTTAAAAAAAAATCATACCATTAAAAAAGTTAAGTCTAGAAAGGAGCGAGCACTTACTTAAAACCAAAGGCAAAGACGTTTAACACACTGGGGCAGAGTGCTTCTTAAGTGTACAATGAAATAGAAATTACTAAAATGGATCTATTAGAGACTAGATCCTCTCTGAAAAGTGATGGGTTTATCAATATGGTGAAATTAAGCACTGCAGCGTAAATGTAAACGAATTGGGCTTAAGCTATCTATGGTCTATTTCTGACAAGGCCACTGTGCTAAAACGGAAAGACGAAGGTTTTATGAATGAACCTGTCACACACCCCGTGGGAGGGATCAGAACCTCGCTATTTCACAGGCCAGCTGTGCTGGGTGGGGTGGAGGGCTGGCGGGGTGGGGAGCGGGGAGCTCAGAAGCCACAGACTCGCTGCTTTTACCGAGATTTAGTACATTCTTTTTCAATAAATACTGATTTGCTATATTCACTCAGGACAATTTTTAGAGCCTTTAAAATTTGTTAAAATTTAGTTTTCGCCAGTTCTGCTTATGTTCCTGGGGAGTGGGTCCTTGGACCTCCTCAGATGGCCGGGCCGTAAGCAGAACCTCAGTAATATTTTACGAAGCTGATTGCTGAGTCCTTTTGAGGCACTTTCTCCGACGGGCTCGTGGAGCACCACGCTCTGAATTCAGGTTGCTAACCTCGTGGCTCTAAACAAATGCATTTTAAGGCGAATCAGTTCCCATTTTCCATCTCCAGCTCTGTCCTAACCTTAGAATCCATTCGTACGTATTCTGTGCTGCTCGTCACCACCCCTCGATGTCCCAGAGGCACTTCGACCTGGCATGGCCCAGGTAAAATTCCCGGTTCGGCGCCTTTCCTAAATTGGCTCCTTCCTCAGTAAACGGCACCAGCCCCCAGGCGTCAGAGTCCTCCCTGGCTGGTCATCCTGCAACGTCACGAACGTATCCGTGTCGCCCACGGCCGTTCGGTAACTTTGCAGAATAATTGGATAATCGCGCCCATTTTACAGAGGAAGAGACTGAAGCTTAGGGAGGTTAGAAAGTAGCTGGATTTGAACCCAGTCTGAGTCTAGTCGATGCCTCAAACCACAGGACAGAAGTTTGGTAAGTGTCAGAGTTGGTTCTCAATAAATATCACCATTAACACCGGCTAGTAGGATGCACTGCTGGGAATGGGGCTCCGGGCATTACTGCCGGGGGCCTGGAGTACTGACTAGTCTGCTGTATTTCGCGTTGAAAAGGAACAGTTACGGGTTTTGATCTGGACTGTAGTTCGGGTTCTCCAGAGAATCAGGACAGGACGCATCTATAGCATGAGGGAGATTTACTTGCGGGAACTGCCCCGCCATCAATCGTAGGGGCTGGCGTGTTCCAGCTCTGCGGGGGAGGCCGACAGGCCCGAGGCCCAGGGGAGAGCTGATGGTGCAGCCGGGGGCAGGGCTGTCCCTTTCGGGGCCTCTCTCCTTGTCCTGTAGGTCACCCTGTGTCTTCGTGTGGTCTTCCTGCTGCACGTCTGTTTGTTCAATTCCTTTTCTGATATGGAAGACGCATTTTGTAACGATTACCTCTGTAAAGACCCTACCCCCCAATAAGTCACACCCCGAGATACTGGGGGTAGGGCTTCGGTGTATGAACTGGGGGCGGGGGACAGTTCACTCCTTGGCAGACTGAAACAGGCTTCCAAATGCTAAATATGACAGTGGCGTACAAACGGGAGGAGGGACTGGAGCACCAAGGAGCAGGCTCTACCGGGTCTCACGTCTTCCCCTCCGCATGGGACTGCTGGCTGCAGAGGGCGAGGGACAGCGAGGGGTCGGCCGGGGCAGCACGGTTAGCCCAGTGGGAGGCTGTGGGCATCACCGACGAGAAGCAAAACTCCACCAGGACAGCTGGTGCCTGGGTACAATGGGGTCACTTTGGGGAGGCGAAGTCTGCAGCTCTGAATAATAAAACTCTAGAGACGTCCAACTGGCTGGCGGGGCTGGAATTTGAGGCAGAGGTTGGAGCTGGAGAGATTCTGGATTCATGGGAATTGGGGTGATAATGGAAGGTGCTGGATGACTCGAACGAGGGACGTAAGGACAAGAAAGCTGAAGGAACCTCCCCGGCACAGAGTGACAGGAGCCAGACAGTGATGCAAAGAGCGGGTACAGCTCACAGGGACGAGAAAGCAGTGGGAGACCACGTCGCAACTTCTCGAATCCTTCCCCAATTCATGATAACACTTTTAAGGCTCATGTTTTCTGAGAATTACCCCATCCGCTGGAAGTGGACGCTCACCGGTTTTATTCAAAGAAGCAGCCCTATTGAGTTCTGCCTCCCTATAAAACCCCAAGGGGGCTCTGATGGCCACGGAATGCGGTTCCGTGACCCCGCAGCACGCCACAGCACGCCACGTTTCCCCTTTCTGTTCTTTTCCCAGGGGTCAAAACAGCACGACAGCACAAACCACGTGTGAAAGCTCCCTATTCTTACGACTGTAGAACAGAGACGAAGAGCAAGTTTCGCCATCACCTGGCCTCAGACACGCTGGTTAATATTCCAGGTCCCAGTGTCCCTCTTGCCTGTCCCTACAATGGCTGCCAGATCTGTGTCAGCGATGGCATGTTCTTCTTGCTGTTGGTCCGGCCCAGCACCGCACAGACACCCCTGGCAGCCGTCTGTAGAGACAGCTAAAATAGATGGCCGACGAGGCCCTAAGGGAGTGTGGTTTTCTCACTCTAGATGTCACAAGTCAGGTCACGACACATTCGAATGTAGCTCTCCCCAAAAGTTTTAACTTAGTCTACTAAGTAATGTTTTCCACATGAAACGGATACTTAATTTTATTACATAAATCTGTAGAAAAATATATCATTTATCTGAAAAAAAATTCCACTACAAGAATGAACTTTGTTTTTAACTTAAGTTTGATCAAAGGAGATACAGTGAGCCATGATCGTTGAAAAACTCGAACTAAAAACTAGAAAAATCTCTGTTTTGTGGTTTAATAAGTATTGGATTTCAATGAGTGAAGTCTTCTCCTTGGAAACAGGTATTTCTAGAGATGTAAACGTGATTCAAGTCAATGAATCTGGTAATAACTGTTTTTTATTCCTCCAATCTCTTCGTCACTCCACGCCAACATACCTGTTTCGAAAATACCTGTTTCAGAATCGTTTGAATTGTTTGCCTTGGATTTTCTGACTTCTGCACACTAGATGGCGCCATATGCACATTACTTCACAGACAAGGCCCACCGACCTAACTGGATCATTTGAAGAATTGCAACCAAATTTATATTCTTTGAAGAAAAAGGAAAAATAATGGATGTGATTTGGGAAGGCATTGGAAAGACAAAGGCAGTAAAGGAAAATGATTTTCAGAGACGGCTGCACAGGAAGAAGATATCTCTGTAAAGTGATCTTTTTTATATATCTGTTCCAAACAGAGACAAGGAAGTTTTACAGCTGCTTGTTAGGTCCAGTCCCCAATGTCTTTATCAGCCTGGGCAGAACTGAACCAGAGTGTCTCAAACAGCAGATGTCCCACCTCCACTAGACACTGGCCGGAAACAGAATTCCCCTGCTGCACTCAACAACCCATTTAAAAATATCTGCTTAAGAAATGTTCCCTAATATTCACTTAATAAACTGATCACATACTGTGTCCTATACTGGATACTGTGGGAGCACACAATACACACAAATGCACACTTAAATATATGCAACACACATATACACACAACACGCATGGACAACAGATAACACATCCACACTTACAGTACATACTTACGACACACGACACGTTTATCAATGACACACTTAAATGCGCAACAAAAGACAAATATACAACACAACATACACATACTTAAACACAATAGATACACACATACCTACAACACACATTTAAATTTATACGCACATGTTCATACACACACACTTACTCACACTCAC